GTGTAAATGAATTATTGTCATATGTCCTAAACATGCTTAAAAGCATAAATTCACCAACACTGATCTATAAAAACCATTTTTCTCCAGAATAACTGAACTATTTTCCCATCCGCATTGGACTTACTGCCTTTTCTGAGGGAATTGCGGACTTACTGCCTTTTATCAGGATCGATTTCAACCGATTCCTCTCTAGAAAGGCAGTAAGTCCATTTTTCCTCAGATAAAGTCAACACAAAAAATAAAACATTTCTATATCTTTGATCATATCCTTGCAATATAATTATGTGGGCCTCCTGTGCATTGCAAGTGTGTAATATTGATGAAAAATGGATAATTTCTCGCTCAAAATGCCTAGGATACAAAGGATACAAGGATACAAGGATACAAAAGTGATAATTATTTTATTGAATTCATAATAGTTATAATTCTGAAATAATTTAAGGTTACACAATTCTAGTTATTTACAAATGTGTAGGGATAAAATAGAAATGTTTTATAATACTATTTTTGAGGTCCTATAGCATTATGCATTGGCCAGTATTTGAGTGGAAATCTGGGCTCTTATAGTAGGCTGTAAAATTTTCGTTCACAGAGAGAATTGAATGGATTGCTCTTGCTGTGGCAGTAAATTTTGTAGGGTCTAGTGTTTTATCGGATAGCAAACCGGCTAGGTCAGTAATATTTTTGGGATGGAAGTTAAATTTTTCTCTAACTGAGGAGTAGAGTAAACAGCCCAGTGGCAAATAGTCAGGCGTCCAGGAATTTAACACCTAGTCAAAATTTGTTGATAACCGGTAAAAAAAGATTCTTGTGGAAAAAATATTCACATTAATTTAAAATTAAATCAAAATTGGTCGCTCTCAGGGCTAACGCGATGTTACATCATTTTATCGACTCGAAGTTCGAATCGAGCGCATTCCTAGATTCCATGACTATTTCTTACCTATAAGATTGCTTGACTATTTTTTGCGCATTCAGACACCAAAAAACGCGCAGAAAACGCGAGCTATCCATTCCTCCTTCCTCAACATCCCGGAATATGAAAAAATAGTCATGTAAAATAGTCATTTGAAATAGTCATGCAAAATTTCAGCTCTGATACGCTAAAATATCAAGTTAATCTTAAACAATCGACAATCTAATATGAATCCTCCCAATACAGTCTAAATATGACCGACAACTTTGGTGCAGTTACAACTTTGATGCAAATGAATTATCATTGAAATAGGTTGATTTAGTAAACATAATCACATGAGTAAACCACGGTGTTATTGCAAAAAACCATGACAAGGGTATCAGACCTATATTAATCTAAGAGACGACACAAAACGAATCATCATACAACAAATTTTAAAATCCTGCGGCACAGGATCTTGTTGTTTTCCTACTCTACCTCTCCCAAACCCCTCTCTCCTTCTCCTCTCTTCAGGTTTATTCTTCAATTTTTTAAAATTAGATAGCAGATGTATTTTCTTTTAAATGAAGTAATGGCATTATACATTGATTGGTATCGTATGTATGTTGTGTATAGTGTTTGCTGACTGGGTATATGCTATATATTTTGAGGCTCACGACGTCTCGTCCCATGGGTGGAGTTGTAGGCTGAGTATGTGTTCTCCTTACTTCGTATGGGGAAACATTGACAGGTTTGCCTTAGCCTTTGGGACGAGTGTTTGCCCACCGGGGATCCAAAAATATGATTATCATGGACATTACTTTGACACATAAACTAATCAAACGACTTGAATGATTCCAGAAAATTTTACTAACTGCATTTAGCTAGTTTATAGTAAATACACACGATCGCAGAATAGAGGAGCACAATTGGGTTCTTTGTTCTGCGACTGTGTTTCCTCGGTGGGCCGACAGGTTTTTGTTGTGTAGTAGTGCTGGGGAAAAAAAAAAAAAAAACGCTTTAACTATCAATGAGAGTACAAATTTTTAATTCTTGACCTTAGTGCCACAGTTTCTGTGGTAAAAACAAATTTATAGTTAAACGTTATATAATGTAGAAGGGCATGATTTACTCACATCACTAAGCATCTGGATGGATAATTAGCACACAAGGATAAACTGACCTTTAAACATGACCACCAACTATACCACGTAACCATAGCTCCGAAATAAATAAATTGCTCTACATAGAAACATCTGGCCTGATCCTATCACATTGTGGTCCCCAGGGGTTCGGTAAAGCCCTTACAGGCAACTGGGTCCTTTTACCAGCCACAATAAAATTGGTCATGCCAGTACTGTCATAAACTGTAACCAACTATTTAAAAATTAGACATCTTTAGCTAAATTTTAAATTTTAAGTCATAGAGCAATCTTCTTAATTTTAAAATTTTTAAGAATTATATTTTACCCTAACTATGATGTGGTGGCATTTCATACTTAACTAAATTTCAACTTTGAAAGTAAATAGATTATTAGTGACAACAAATTATAGTTTAAGACATCCATTCTGCATTGTGTTTCCAATATTAGAATTTATGATATGTATTGATTGAATAATTGGTAATAAATTTAACTTTTGTTTTATTAACTTTTGTTTTATTAATCCTCCCAGCCATATTAACTGGTGAACGGTGTAAATATAGAGCGGTATTTTAAAATGTAGCATTCAAAATTTTATGGATTCAAGTTGGCTCCTTTAGTCTAGATTCATTTAGAAAATTCTCGAAGTTCGAGTAATACAGTATTCTCAGGGTTTGGCGCTTAAGGAAGCTTCACATCCGAGACCGATTTCCACGAATCAATTTAATATTGTAGCTACAAGTCAACAACAGTGCAAGTGGGAAGGAAGTGAATCTAGCCATTGCTACTATATCAGGGGAACTCGTGTGTTCTAGGCTTAAGCAAGCTTCACATCCTAGATCATCTAGAGTACAGTGCAGACAACCCCCTCCATTATACATCCCTATCCCGCTTTAAGTCCGAAGTTTATCATTGTTCATTGTCCAATATTGTATCTAACCTGGCAGAAGCAAGCTTCAGATCCAAAGTCAGGCCATAAATATCGACACAAGGTCGATGCCACTTTCAGAGTAGCGAATAATTGATCATGCTGATGAGAGTCAAACTTTTAAACTCGATCTACCGAGTTAGTAAGAAGAATAGTATGGAGATGACTGTGGGCTAGGGTCTATACTTCTTTTAAAAAATATTTCCTTGCGTTTCAAATAAATTAAAGAATTCTCAGAAATTTTTTATTTAATTTCAAAATTTGCAATTGCATATTCATCCGGTAATTATTCTAATGGATACGCTAAGCATTTCAAACTAATCTTGACCTGGGAGAAGAGCTGACCAGTGACAAGTCGGCCGCAAAGCGGCCGAAAAATATATAGCCTTTTTTTCTTCCCAAATTGGATTCCTAGTCATATTTAAAATTTATTCCACTGGGGTAAACAGTCAGTTAGAACATGAATTTCGTCCTCAATAGGCTTAAGCCCCTTGCTGAAAAAGCAAAAAGTGCACCATCGATGTTCTCTTGGTACTAGGGGGGTTTCGTAACGGCCCCTCTCAATGTAAAGATTGTGGCAGCTAATACGAAACCTTGTTAAGCTTTTCCGAGCATCGGGTATCTTAACCACTCCTAAGTATGTTTCTGGTTCAAAATCATGTTTAATTTGATTGTAGAATTCTAATTTAGGTGAGGATGCCTTGGCAGATTTCCAGGTATCCACAAATTCTTCCCTCATGTTGTGACTGATTTGGGTAGAGAGCTTGGATTTAGAAGAGGATGAGTGGGGGAAGTTATATTTGGTGAGAAGATTAGAGATGTTGGTGTACCAAGGAAGGCCCAGCATAATCTGCTCGTGAAATGCAGCGGAGAGAAGTTCATTTTCAGTGCTTTCAAGACGACTATAGAAATCTATTGCAAGTTTGCAGGCTTTGCCTATAATAACTTCTTAAATATCGAATATTTTGGAATAATTTTTACAGCATCGTATTCAGCTCGGTCAGATGCATTAATTTGGAAAAAAATATTTGAACAATATTCAAAGCAACAAATTTTTCAAAAAATGTTTCAATAATTCACACAAGGGGGGACCCTTGTGTTCAGGTTCAAAAATTTTGAAAATAATATTTCTTTAAATTTTGAATTATTAGTACCAACATTTTTTGCTTGCTGAGCTGATTACGACCACATACAAATTATTTCGATATAACTAAAACTGTGGAAGTTATAGGCCAAAAACTATAAAAACTGCAAATAAATCTGGACTTACTGCCTTTTCTCAGGGAAAAAGTTCACTCACGGAAAAAGTTCCCTCAGAGAAGGCTGTACAAATGGACCTACTGCCTTTTCTCAGGGAAGGTTTTGGGATAACGTGCTAAATTGTCAAGTTTTGTGTGACTTACTGCATTTCGTGACAGCTAAAACAGTATTTTTATAACGTGATTCATAGCTTAAGTTGTAGAGAATCTTCTCCTGAAAATTTTGATACCAATATCTCAAAATTTCGAAAAATGGACTTACTGCCTTCTCTCAGGGAACGGCAGCACAATAATTGTGCTCTGCCAATTGCAACACTTGAATTACTTTATTGTATATAACTATATAATATACTGTTGGACACACTTTAAAAAAAAATGTATTTAACTTTTTAACATGAAGTGTGGCAGCTGTCGTGCTCTTTTATCCATTCTATCAATGGATTAATATTTAAACCACGGTCATCACTGGAAAAAGTTGAAAATGTACTTTTCTCGATTTTATAAATTATATAGTTTTCACGAATTTACATTGCAGCAAATTCATGTGCAATAGAGAAATCAAAGATGTTTTTGTGCTAATTGAAAAACAATGTGTAATTATTGTTAGGGTTGTGTCTTTGATCGATTTTGCTTCTGAAACTATTTTAGCTACACATTTCTTTATACAGTAAAACCCTGATTTACCTGTGGACCCTGATTCATTGCGGATGTTTCCTTTCTTCCAAACTACTTCTTAAATCAGGGTTTTACTGTACCATGACCACACTAAAACTATCTAACTTCAGATGTAAATATTATGACATATACAATATTCTGACGAAAGACTATGAGAGATTGATTGCACATTGAAGGGCTTTACCTTATACCCCCTCCCTATATTTAAAAAGATTCTAGTCATGAGATTAATGAGAGTTCTCTTTCTCCTTTTTATAGGACTGTGTGCTTTAGTCTCGATCATGATAGTCCAGGTTAGTGTTAAAGTACTTAATACATACAGTTGATTCAAATATTAAGTGATGCACTATTTATATATTGTTTCTGCACCAATTGTCATTGTGAAAGAAAAAGTGATAGAATTAAAATTTCTGAGCATCCCTGTACCAATCAGAGCACAGTTTTCTGGAATGTAAAACAAATTAGTTAGCTACTAACCTACCATTAATCATTATTCACAGACTCTCTACCTGCAAGCAGAGGGGGCAGTCCACGAGAACAGATCATCATCATTTGCCCAGACTTTCAACAAACTCAGATACTACTTATTTTTACCCCGCACTAAACTACAATTGTTTATAAGGTTTGTAATTAATAACAAGACTGATTTTGAAAATTTATTCAAACAATTTGTTAGAACTGCAGTGTTGTTCATCATTGTTCGACACCCAATAGTGCCACGGCTTACTCTTGATTGTTTTCAGGAATTTAAGGAACAAATATAAGGGTTCACCGTCTGCTATAATATCTGAGCCAGATTCAGATGGTGCCGCAGAGGTCAGAAATATAATCGCTGATATGGTCACTCAGTAAGTAAAACGAAATATAAGTTTATACAATATGTTAAGTTTATACATGTTATAGTTATAGCCATGTGCGCAATTCATTCTATCTACAAATAGTTCTCATCCGACCATAGTTATCTTTCACAACATCTTGAAACTTCATGAAATGTATAAAAGTAAAGTAAAGTAATATATAATTATTTTAAATTGTGCAGGAATCGTTCATTAACATTAATCCCTGCTATCAGGAAGGAGTATGTACAGTATTTAGTTTTAGTAATAACTGCCCCCGGTAAAAAAGAAATAAGGGCTCTCATTAGAGATGAAGGGTACTGGGCCTATAACTGGACGGACTCTGAGGGCAAACCTATCAACTGGAAACACTTCTTCGTTGTTGGTTAGGAACAGCTTATTGTTGTACTTTGAGTTACGTAATTGTGGAGAATTCCATATTGGTTGAAATTTAGAAAACAACGTTTTGTGTAGTAAGTTAGATAATTCCCATCCTTTTCAGGCCAGAATGAAGATGAGAATGTAAATGCTGCAGTACTGCAAGAGGCCAAAGAATTTGGTGACATTCTAATCGGAAATTTTGAGGACTCTTACAAGAATTTAGTTTTTAAAAGCTTGTGGCTCATCGAATGGGCTGTTAATAGGTTTGCTGAATATGTCTATGATTGAATCGATTTTAGTAATGATTTTGAAATCTGAGATGATAACAAAATCTCATGTGAGCTAATCCAAATATTTCACATGATAATAATATTATGTATTTTGATAATATATGACATGATTGTGGATTGTACACCACGGTCCACGGTACATATATTTCAGGAATATCTCAGCATGATTTATTATCATTATTGAACACGATATTTTTACTCGACAGATATGATTTCGACACCATGGTAAAGTGTGATGACGACACAATAATAAACATGTCCAAGTACCACGAACTGATGAAACAGCAAGATCTCTCAGTGCCCTTTTTTGGAGGTGTCAGATTCGGGGGCATGCCTGTATTTAGACATGGCCGGTAAGGGCTATTTATTGTCTTATTTATTGTCTTATTTATTGTCTTATTTCTTGTCTTATTTATTGTCTTATTTATTGTCTTATTTCTGTGAAATATATTATTTCTGTGAAATATATTATTTCTGTGAAATATATTATTTCTGTGAAATATATTATTTCTGTGAAATATATTACAGCACTGCCTCTTACAGCACTGCAGCATTTAAATTATCATCTTCGTTCTGACCTGAAGATATTTTCGATTTGAGTTTGAACTTGGTTGCAATTTCCAGACTGCCTGTTTTTGTGTGTTAACACTTTGCTTAGTCGTCTTGCACAAGAAAAAGCCTCTATTTTCCCGTGTAATGATCACAAAAAATGGATGGTTACCTTTTCTAATCACTTATCTGATTGTGAGCGCCCAGTACGTTATTTGTGTGATGTCATCAGGAGGTGACACACTTGTGAAAACTCGACTTACTTCGGCTTTCGACAGAGTTATGAACTGGATATCACCTCAGCAAATTTAATAGATTTGTCTTGTTGTAATTATCATGAAACCAATTGAATTATCGTAGACTGATTTATAGAGCTGAAAATTACACTTACTATAAACAGTAAAGATCACATGTTTATTGTTTATGAGGTAAATGATTAAACATTAAAAATGTACAAACTCCTTCTTTGATCTTTATATTATATTATATATTTACATTATATTACTACCATTATACTATATTATTACAGCTGGGTTTGACACTACCCGTTTGTTCAGGTATGAAGTGAAGCCTGAAGAGTGGGCCCCTGATAAGTTCTCTCCCTACTGTTCTGGTGGCGGCTACACTCTCAACAGTCAAGCTATTCATGTGAGCATTTACTTTTTATACTTACTTTTATACTTACTTTTTTTACTTACTTTTTTTACTTACTCTAACCTAGTTTTAGCAATACAATGCATACACAGTTATTTAGCAATCTCACGACTCACGAGATTATCAAATGTTCATGGTCATTAGCCACATTGCACTACCGCAAGTCTTGTTTCCCAGTATAATATCTTAAAACACCCCTCCTAAAAATGCCTCAGAAATTCCCTCACCACTTCACCTCACCTAGTCCCATGTTACTACCCCGAACTTTTACACGTATATCCACAGTGTTAAAGTGCAGTCCCTCCCCACCACGTAGTATTACACTCACCACATAGAACACTGTACTGATTGAGAGTAAGTGTAGCCTGCAACACTACTTTTACTACAATGCACAGAAAATAGAACATGTAGGACATGTAGATTGTAGAACATGTAGGACATGTAGAACATGTAGGACATGTAGAACATGTAGGACATGTAGAACATGTAGGACTTGTAGAACATGTAGAACATGCAGGACATGTAGAACATGTAGGATATGTAGAACATGTAGGACACTGTACTGCAACACTACTTTTACTGGTCCTTAACGTACAACTGTGTACTACAGTCTACACTGCACTTTTACATTTTGTAGCAGCGGGAAATGTGTAAGAAGTTGGATAGTTGTTTTAACATTAACGTATAATGTATAATACGTTTAAATGTAGAAAAGTAATGCTGGCGCAGCTAATGTAGGTTACTAGCAATGTCATTCTTTATAAGTCTGTTGTAGAAAGCACTTACAGATTAAGATCTGTCTGTGCAAACTAAACTAAGAAGATATCTTACAAGATCCTGTTTGATATAAAGTTATAACATATATGCAAATTATGCATTATTATACATATATATTATTATATATAACGTGGTCAAATTGACAGAGGAACTTGAGCAAGGTTTCACCAAGTATTTCGTTAACAGTATTACATATAATACACAATGCAAACATCAAGTGTTTCCTCGCTGAAGCGTGATATTGTTATTTTGTTGTTTAACAAGTTGTGATACTGTTAAATACGTAAACCACACCAAGGTGCTGCAGGAACCTCCTTTTACTGGATAATATATCACACGGCTTTAGGGAGTAGCTAAGGATCCATTGGATCTATGCGATCTCCTCGGTCGACTCAGCCGAATGATAGGAAACTTAATTGAGGGTTAAATGAGGAGGGGTACCTGTTAAAATTTCAGGAAACTTGCTAGGATACCTCTTCTATTCAGTACATACTGTAACCATAGTACTATTAACTATTATTATTAACTATTTAGTTCTATAGTCTTGTAAACGTAAGTTCGTACTTCGCCCGATGTAATGTACTGACACCCGCCTGTCTCTCCATAATTGCACCAAAGACCAAACTGCCAACTTGGATTTTGCACTTTTGTTGAATTGAAAGATTAGTATTAAGAAGAAGGCCCTGTACATTTGGAGGGCTCATCATCGCTTATCGTTCATCTTGGTAATTCTCGAATAATAGCGAAAAATAGCAATTTTAATCCCTTCGTAACTCTGTGACCTACAACTTTAACTCTAACATAATTTACATAACCCTATAATTTCAGAAATTTCTAGATGTCCACTACTCTGGTGTCCAACCTGTTTTTCTGGTTGAAGATGCTTTTATGGGGACACTGGCTTATCATGCTAAGGTATGTAAAGAATGTGGTACTTTTTGTAACTGTATTCTTGCAGCTTTAGTTACTTTAGTTACTAAACTTATTGTAACTTTAGTAACTTTAGTTACTTCACTTCTTGCAGCTTTAGTTACTTTAGTTACCAAACTTCTTGTAACTTTAATTACTTTTGTAACTACACTCTCTTGTTACTGAATACTATGATAACAATTACGATTGAAGCATGTGCAGCTGGCTGCCAATCTGTTTAAAATAATAATAATTTAACTGATTTTGTTTTGTTGTTTTTAAACGAAATAAATGTTAATAATCATTTTACAATATTTGGTTTAAAACAACTCGCTACTAGCAAGCAATAATTATTTTATTTATTTTTTATTTTAGCAACAGTTTCTGTTTGATTTCTGCCTATTTACCGTACAGTTTCTCTTAAAAATTTCACTGTTGGTTATTTATTATTTTAACGTACATTTAACATCGTAATATTGTATTACATATTTACATAATTATTATAATTTTTCCATCTCCGTTTTATAGAAGATCAGCTCTAATTTTATCTAATTTCGCGGGTTTTCTTTTTTATTCTTCTCATAAATTATATTTGTCGTTAAATACGAAAACAATCAAATTGGATCATAACTTTTGAAGATGAATCTCATGTCTACCTAGAAACATTGTACAGAGTCTCTGCTTTTAAGTCTTCTTCGTAACGGGACAACATATATATCTACATTCTACAATGTACAGATTTGTACATAACTTGTACTTTACATTATTATGTACATATCATGTACTACTACTTAACATCATGATGTACTATCATATACTTGTACATATCATGTACTTGTACATATCACGTACTTGTACACAGTACATATACTTGTTCAGTGTACACAGTACATGTAATTGTACACAGTACATAAGTACATGTATGTGACTTCTGTATTATTCTCTGTGTTATTGAAGACGATAAATCGTAAATTATCTGAGTTAATGATTACAGTGTGTCATGAAACATTACGAATTAATTCCAATCAGAATGGATATGATATAATAATATGACATAACTTAATCAAATTTCAATAAATATCTAAGTTAACCTAATGTTTTCTGGATTTCTCTTGGAGAATTTCTCTTTACACTCTTAACTTGCGAACAAATTGAAGCAGCAGACTTTAAGCTAGAAACTTTATTGAATAGAAATAATCATTCCACGTAACTACGTCTTCTTCAGTTCTCAAATTATTTGTTATATAGTAGTGTTGAAAGTATTAAAACTAATGTTTTCTATTAAGTTATATATTTTATATGGCCCCTATATGCACTTTGATGAGGTTTCATATAATTTGATGTCTATTGTCTATGTAACAATACGATCTTAACTCTCGTGTGATATAATTAAAAAGTTGTACTGTAACTCTGTAAGCTCTAGGTGGTTTACATTACGTTCATTTCGAACAAAAGCTAAGTGAAATATTACAGACCAGTATAAACATCTTTACCAGGTAATTCATACAATATGAATATTAATACCCGGCTACAATAATACATCTACAGAACTATCTAATGATACGCCCTGTTCAGTAACATGCTCTTAGTCAGGCAATGCTTTGGGACTAAAATCACGTCTTACTATTAGATTAAACTGATATTATAGTAAGAGGAGAATCTCATTGCGTCCCCAGTAATCAATCTGTTATGATATTAAGTGAGATCGTTATATTGATATAATTATATAATCCCAAATATTCCCAATATTTGATGACACATCATTGGGGTTTCGCCTCTGTGCCTATAATCTCTATCCTAATAGATGCTAACAACCGGATATTATCCAACTAATAGATGCTAACACTATGAATATGACTATATTATAGCGTGTATTATTGTCTAAAATCCCTCCATTTTGGCTGACTTATCCGGGGTGTCCTATGATTTAATTAACTCAAAACAGCCTTTAAAAAATGCATGAGCCCGCTGATCACCAAACTGCATGATTTCCCATTTTACGTGTGCTATTCGCCAAGGATCACGTGCTATTTACACCGAGCACGTGCTAATATTGCACTGGTGCTAATCCTGCGCTGACTTTCAGATAGACCCAGTCCAACTAGTGCCCTATTTCCGTGCCTTCAGCCCCCACAAGTTCTGTTACAACGACCAGTCGACTTTATTACACTACGTTAAAGAGTCTAACCAGCGAACTTACATGGAGTTTCATAAGTCCATGGGGAGGTTTTGTAATGAAAAATGGGTTTTTGATCATAAACAGTGACCTGGTTTAGTTGTTTACTTTGGTTATTTTTTCTTATTAAGTTGTTCTATTTGTTTAATTTTACCATCCATGTTTTTGATCGAGAATCAACCAATGTGAGTTGTAGTGGGGTCGATTAAGAAGCTGTCAGAGTTTAGTTCTGTAATATCCTGGAAGAGCATTACTCATCAATACCAGTTCCATGTAGGGTTTCATTTATAATTAAAAATATTTACTGAAGAGCTATCTAAAATTAACTAAAGAGTCATTATTGTGTTTGAGTCTTGTAATTTGAAGATTTGACACTTTATTTAAGTAGCGGATTACTTCTTCTTATGATTATAAATTAATAGTTGATTATATAGATTGTATGGTTGCACTAAGTACTTGTTGTAATTGTTGATACGGGGTAACATCTTAAATATGTAATAAATAGTGATTATACATTAATGTAGAAATTTTAAGGTAAACAGATTGAAGATAAATGCAACGTTATATAGTTCTAGTGTAACGTCACAATAGTGAATTTAATATACAGTTGATGTAGCTACTGTTAATTAATCCTGTTACGTTTTTAGATTATAGAATTACATTATGATTTATGATTTTATATAGGTAAGGCATGTTTTTATTTCTGATAATATTACTAAACATAATTACGAGCAGAATTTTCTAGATCACAGTTCTTTAATTGGTTCAATACTTCAAAATAACGATTAAGCCGCTTGTTAAAAGAGGCTGTCCGACAATAATGTTGAAACATCTTAAAATTGAAGTGTCGGGCTTATACATTAAGCACTTATAGAGCGTAATGACTAATGGTCATGCTCGCGTACAATATGTACAGTACATTGCAGCAACATAATGGGGGGGGGGGGGGGGGGGGTGACATGTCTCCAATGTCTCCCGCACCTTATCTTTTCGAAAAAGACAAAGACATTGGAGACATTGGAGACATTGGAGACATTGGAGACACAGCTTTTGGAGACATTGGAGACATTGGGGACATTGGGGACATTAGGGACATTAGAGACACAGCTTTTGGAGACATTGGGGACATTGGGGACATTAGGGACATAAAATGGATATTAGGGGCATAGGAGACATTGGAGACACAGCTTTTGGAGACTCCTCCTCCTCCTCCTCCTCCTCCTCCTCCTCCTCCTCCTCCTCAGTCCTCCTCAGTCCTCCTCAGTCGTTCTCCTCCTCCTCCTGAGTCCTCCTCCTGGGACCTGGGTCCTCCTCCTGGGTCCTCCTCCTGGGTCCTCCTCCGGACTTCCTGGGTCCTCCTCCTCCTGGGTCCTCCTCCTCTTCATCCTCCTCCTCTTCCTCCTCAATCATCAGTCCTCCTCAATCCTCCTCCTCATCCTTCTCGTCAGTCCTCCTCCTCCTCAGTCCTCCCCAAGTCCCCCTCCTCCTCAGTCCTCCCCCAGTCCCCCTCCTCCTATTCAGTCCTCCTCCTCCTCCTCCTCAGTTCTCCTCAGTCCTCCTCCTTCTCAGTCCTCCTCCTGAGTCCTCTTCCTGAGTCCTCCTCCTGAATCCTCCTCCTCTTCCTGAGTCCTCCTCTTCCTAGGTCCTCCTCCTTCTCCTCCTCCTCCTCATCCCTCTCAGTCATCCTCCTCAGTCATCCTTCTCAGCCATCCTCCTCAGCCATCCTCCTCAGCCATCCTCCTCAGCCATCCTCCTCAGCCATCCTCCTCAGCCATCCTCCTCAGCCATCCTCCTCAGCCATCATCCTCAGTACTCCTCATTTCTCCTCCTCAGTCCTCATCCTCCTCCTCAGTCCTCCTCCTCATCCTTCTCCTTAGTCCTCCTCCTCCTCAGTCCTCCCCATTCCCCCTCCTCCTCCTATTCACTCCTCCTCCTCCTCCTCAGTTTTCCTGAGTCCTCCTCCTGAGTCCTCCTCCTCCTCCTGAGTCCTCCTCCTGGGTCCTCCTCCTCCTAGGTCCTCCTCCTTCTCCTCCTCAGTCCTTCTCCTCCTCCTCCTCAGTCCTCCTCCTCCTCCCTGTCAGTCATCCTCCTCAGCCAATCTCCTCAGTCCTCCTCAGTCCTCCTCCTCCTCCTCAGTCCTCATCCTCAGTCCTCCTCTTCAGTCCTCCTCCTCCTGGGTCCTCTTCATCCTCCTCCTCTTCCTCCTCAGTCCTCAGTCCTCCTCCTCATCCTTCTCGTCAGTCCTCCTCCTCCTCAGTCCTCCCCAGTCCCCCTCCTCCTCCTCCTATTCAGTCTTCCTCCTCCTCTTCCTATTCAGTCCTCCTCCTTCTCATTCCTCCTAAGTCCTCCTCCTGAGTCCTCCTCCTCTTCCTCCTGAGTCCTCCTCCTGGTTCATCCTCCTCCTAGTTCCTCCACCTTCTCCTTCTCCTCCTCAGTCCTTCTCATCCTGCTCCTCCTCCTCAGTCATCCTCTTCAGTACTCCTCAGTCCTCCTCCTTCTCAGTCTTCCTCAGTCCTCTTCCTAAGTTCTCCTCCTCCTCCTGAGTCCTCCTTCTGGGTCCTCCTCCTCCTAGGTCCTCCTCAATCTCCTCCTCAGTCCTACTCCTCCTCCTCAGTCCTCTTCCTCCTCCTCCTCCCTCTCAGTCATCCTCCTCAGCCATCCGCCTCAGTCCTCCTCAGTCCTCATCCTCCTCCTCAGTCCTCCTCCTCCTGGGTCTTCCTCCTCTTCATCCTCCTCAGTCCTCAGTCCTCCTCCTCGTCCTTCTCGTCAGTTTTCTTCATCCTCAGTCCTCCCCAGTCCCCCTCCTCCTCCTCCTCCTATTCAGTCCTCCTCCTCCTCAGTTCTCCTCAGTCCTCTTCCTTTTCAGTCCTCCTGAGTCCTCCTCCTCCTCTTCCTCCTGAGTCCTCCTCCTGGGTCCTCATCCTCCTAGGTCTTCCTCCTTCTCCTTCTCCTCAGTCCTTCTTCTCCTCCTCCTCCCTATCAGTCATCTTCCTCAGTCATCCTCCTCAGCCATCCTCCTCAGTACTCCTCAGTTTTCCTCCTTCTCTGTCCTCCTCAGTCCTCTTCCTGAGTCCTCCTCCTCCTCCTCCTGAGTCCTCCTCCTGGGTCCTCCTCCTCTTGGGTCCTCCTCCTCCTAGGTCCTCCTCCTCAGTCATCCTCCTCAGCCATCCTCCTCAGCCATCCTCCTCAGCCATCCTCCTCAGCCATCCTCCTCAGCCATCCTCCTCAGTACTCCTCAGTCCTCCTCCTTCTTAGTCCTCCTCAGTCCTCTTCCTGAGTCCTCCTGAGTCCTCATCCTCCTCCTTCTCCTCCTGAGTCCTCCTCCTGGGTCATCCTCCTCCTAGATCCTCCTCCTTCTCCAATCATACATCTACGTCTCCAGTGTCTCCAATGTCTCCAATGTCTCCAAAAGCTTTGTCTCCAATGTCTCTTATGTCCCCAATGTCTCCAATGTCTCCAAAAGCTGTGTCTCCAATGTCTCCAATGTCTCCAGGACATGTCTCTGCACCCTATCTTTTCAAAAAAGACAAAAGACATTGGAGACATTGGAGACATGTCACCCCCCCCCCCCCCCATAATGTGGAGTCAAAATACGTAAAGAATTTTAGCGGGCGATTATGTATTTTCTAAAAGTAGGTAATCTGCAAATATTTGGGCCAATAATGTGTCATTATGTCACGACTCACGTGACTAGTTCGTGAGCAGTGGAGTGACTAAAGACCTGAGTTTTGATATACATTCGACATGATATTATTTCGTAAATAAAAATTCAGAAGATTGAATTCCTTATATAAATTATTAACAATTCTCTAAATAAATATGGGAATACTACATATTACCTTTCATCTTTAAATCTACCACATTCCCTAATTCTAAATTACTAAAATGCCCCAAATACCTAACCCCACATTCCAGATAGATCCGGTGGCCCTTAACGGGGCCTTCAGAGCATTCAGTCCCCATTCCAACTGTGCGGATCCCAAACTCACCCTATCTCACTATGTTAAAGATATCTATCAGAGAGAGTTCATGGAAACTTACAAAAAGATAGGAACATTCTGTGATGAGGAACATATTAAACAGTGGAAATTGGATCATCCTAAGAAACCTAAGAAAAAGAAAACTTAGTTTGTTAAAAGTATTGATTTCAAGTTAATCCGCTGAGAAAAGGAGTGTGCTTAATTTCACAGATTTGAATAGACTTGATAAGCTATTGTTTTATTAGTTGAGTTGCATGTCAGTATTTTTATTAACTTATTGGACCTTCATTTTAGTATGTTTTTCTCATTTTGGATAGTCAATGTTTCCGTGTTTTCAATACTTGGTGGGTTTGTGTCAAGTGGTGTAAATTATATGCTCAGAAGTCTGTTTGTTTCCAGAAAGCTGTTAATACTAGTTTGGATTCTCAGCGAGGTTTTCTGATTCATATACATATACTAACAAATTTACTCTGATATAACGGTGGTTATATTGCTTGTTCAAGCTGGCAATTATTTTAAGACCTTTTTCAATGAATTTTGCTGATGATTTATTTATGCTGATGATCAATCTTAGGAATTTCAAGTAATTTGTACAGAAATATGCAGTAGCATGCAGTAAATGTATTTTGTAAACGATAACATTTCAAAGTACATCTTCAAAATTTCAATTTAATTCGTGTTTATGGTGTACAATCAAAGAGGAAAATATCAAGGGCCATGTCTTATAGCCATGTAACTATCTGGAAAGTTGAAGAAAATTCTGTCGGTCAGTTCTCAAGAAAATCAAAAATATATTCTAAGTTATTCACTAAAACACTCGATTTTCGAACTTTTTATTTGGAACAGATTTGCATAAAAGTTGAGTGTTTTACGTAACGCGCGAAAATATTTTAACGTAATAAGTTGAAGTCTTTATTAATCTCTTTGACACAAGGAAAATTGATTTAATTTACGCGCGCAAACAACACCAAATTCCTTGTAAGTTCATAATCTACCAAGATTTACCTGGGGACCTCAGGCTATAATCTTCATTAACATAGAATAGAGATTCGGCGGAAGGACAGGCTGAGCGCGGCCCAGTAAACCAAGATGCGCTACGAGTTGGACTCATCGATGGTCTTTGGTCTTGGAACAAATAATTTACGACGAGTATCACCCGCTAACATGGGCTACATCACCGGGGGGGGGCAGGGGGGCAGCTGCCCCCCTGGGATTTGGGGGACAAGTTTACAAAAACATGAAAATTTATTCTTCAACATAACATTAAACCAGACGGCTATGGTATACAGTAAATTGTTTTCGCACCCACTGCTCTGTAGCCCCACTGCACTGTAGCCCCCCCTACATTGTGTTATTTTTAAATACCATGCCAGTTACCACGAACGATGGATGAATTCCGTCCAGGGGGTTGAAGAGAGAGGGAGGGAGGGAGGGAGGGAGGGAGAGTGGGAGCACTTTTTCTTTTAGTTGCTGCTAACGTAAATTCGTGTCCCTCAAGTACTGGAAAATGCGTCAAAATCGTCTAATTTCCTTAAAAATTTTCGGGGAGGCTTCGCCCCCCTATCCCCCGACAAGGGGCTCCGCCCCCAGACACCTGCTATTGGGGGGGCTTCGCCCCCTACCCAATGTATTGAGAGTTAATACAGGGTGGCCCATAAGTGACTACCCACACGCAACCTCTTAATAACTCACGTAATTCGTCTCCAAATTGCACCAAAATTTCAGAGATTATAGATATGGGTCAAACTTAGATTTCCTGAAAGTTTCGTAAGCCACGCCCAATTACAGTGGGCGTGGCGTGACACTCCCTCTTTTTCACTATTGTCTTCATAAAATGAGAACGCTTTAAGCTAAGAACTCAAAATTTTTTGCACACATTTGGCTTGATAATTGAAAACTTTTCCAAAAGTTTCAAGTTCATTAGTTTAAATATGGCTGAGTTATGACCATTTTCAAATCCATCGGATATGTGATCCGAGCACTCAGTCAGTGATATTTGCACTCAATTAGTGATCTCGTCACCCAATCTGATCAAGAGTAAGGCGTTAGCGTGTATTAATGAGGTTCATTAGGCTTTGATTGGATACCGATGATGACTGTATGTATATTGACATACGTTGCATGCCACTTTTCGCGCGCGAAGCGCGCGCCGCCGAAGGCGGAAAATATTATCTCTGATATTGGGATACGAAACATGTATCAATTAATATATACACTTATATAAACCACTTGGAATACTTTTAAAAGATAACAAAAAGCTCAAATTAAAAGGCTACTGACGTATTTCCTCATAAAAAGCACATAAATAGAATGAGAAGCTTCAAAGTAAAAGTAATCTTAAACGATTCCCCGTTTGATTTTGGTCGTAAGACGACAACTTAGTGCATAATCAAAAAAGTTATAGACATATTTCTTACTGGGCGGCGCTCAGCCTGTCATTCCGCCGAATCTTTATGTTTATGAACATATTAGCCTGGGGTCCCCAGGTAAACATATTTCATATGAAATAATATAAAGCATCCGCATCCATATAATATCATATTGACATACGTTGCATTCCACTGTAATGCATTAATATTAACTTTTTAATTGTTTTTCGTGTTCAATATCAGGGTTCAAAAATATGTGCAAATATGTGCAGTAAATAATCCAAAAATATTTCACAATGTCTATTGTCTACACTCTACAGACTGCTTTTACATTAATATTCTACAAACAGAGGCAGATTTTGGTTACTTCAACTATATAAATACTCATAATAAGTTCTAAGAATCTGCTGTTGACGAAAATTGTCTGATTCACTCACTACACTTAAGTTATGAAGTTTACTGTCCTACCAGCAAACCATTTCCTTTTCTAGGTTATTACTGGTTTCTTAGTTCATAGTTATACTTATACTAGATTTGGGGAGTTTTTTCCATCATCCTGGTTTTCTTTCTCCTCCGATTCAATCTCGTCAGATCCTTTCTCTATCCTTGCTATCTCACATTCTTCGACATCTTCATATATTATATCTTCCTCTTTTCTTCCATCTTTTTTCTCGGCAACAGCTGCTTCAGCTCCTTGAGAAGAATTTGCATAAGCATTAGAATTGACAACAGAAGCTTGAGTAATGCTGACATTCTTTTTCCCCTCCTCTTTCTTAGACTGTTTTATTCTCAATAAAGCAAGTGTGTTGTCTTTGACATCTTCTTGGAACACGACCAAAGCAGTAAAAAGGAGAGGTCCTTGTAGTCCTGTTAGAAGAATGAACAAGTACTGCATGAACACAGCTCCAGGACCAACTGCAAGGGCAATCACAATCCAAGGACACCCAATTGAGACTGCAACTATCATCAATGCTTTAGCTGTTTTTTCTATACTAGAAATTCCACTTCCAGAATTTGCTGCTCGGATAATTACTCTAGCTATCATTCCAAAGCAGACACAGTTGAAGAGAAGAATTGTGTATGCAGGCACCATGAACCCAACATACCTCCAAGGATCTTCAACCCAGCAGCTCGTGTCATTCTTTCTTGTTGCCCCAACATAAGGTGTAGAGTAGTCGTCCTTATTCAGTGTGAGTGACGTCAAGAAGGCTGCAACTGGAAATATCAGTGGTAGTAACCAACTTACAGCTACACACTTGTGGAAGAGAAACTTGTCTTTATTTCCGAAGGTCTTTATAGCATTAACTATCTTTCCAAAGAAGTTCCAAGCACAGCATCCCATCCAAGAAAGAGCAGACAGAAAGAAGTATTGGGTAATGATCACACCTGCAACACATCCTTTGTTTAATGACAATAGAGGGTTCCCAGATTGGTCCACAGTTATTTTGGTAGAGGCAGAAAGGGAGGTAAAGGACAGGTTAGCCAATATCAGAGCCAGTATAAGATTGAGTTGGATCAGAGTGGCCTGCTTCTGTCGCAGCTTTTTGAACGGAAGAATCAGGCCAAGAGTAAGGAACAGGAAGATAAGGTTTACTGCAGACATAAAGTAGCTGAAGATATCCTGGGCTGGATCTGTCACTTCTGTTGGACTTAGCAACACTGCAAAGCTTGTTGTATGAGTACAGGTGCACATGCAGGTTTTGTCTTCATTTAGAATAGTTGTGCAACCCTCAGTCAGCCATTCATCCGTTACTACGTCAAGATATACACATGTTCTTTTGATGTTATCCCCAGAGATAGTTGAATCCTTCTTTTGCTGGAAGACCAGTGAAAAGTTGTAGCCGTCTATTATTTCACTGTCTAAAAAGATGATTGAGACTATTGGAGAGCCCAAAGTGCTATTTGGAGTTGTTGGTTTCGGCAGCATTTTTTTATAGGATTCATCCATGACCGCCACATTTATTTTTTGTCCTCGTTGGTTTCCGAAATCTAGCATGATGGGAAGATCGTCTGCTGGGACAGTTTCAGGAGCTGTCAGGTTAATGGCAGGTTTTTCTTTAGACATGGTCGGAGTGACTGATTGCAATACAATCGAGTCGGTTGTTATTATGTTATCTTCTGTATTGGACTTGGACACAGTTTCCAAAATCTTTATTATCTCTGATTTCTCCGATTCCTTCAAAAATTTAGATTCTCCCCTCCTCAAATTTTCCATTGACCTTATCATGACCAAACTTAGCTCGTTCACCTCAGAAGTAGGATGTTTGGTTAATTTCGAAAGAAGATCAACAATTTCATGAGTGTCTCTGGGGGACAGTATAATTTCTGCTCCCGCATCAGCAACACAGTTCAGTTCCTTGTTGAGATCGTGTACTTTGTCTGCATTCAAGTCACTTTCAACTTCAAGTACTGATTGCAAGCAAGATGACAGTGGGGAATCACATTCATCGGTGTCAGTGTTATCATCCCAATATCCTTCTACAGTGCACTCTTTGTAAAGTTTCTTGTATGAACCTCCAGGACAGTTAACTGAGCTTCTGTTTCCTGCCCAGGTTTCTTCAAATTCTATAGGTGATCCCTTATTCAACCACGGTAGTGTGATGGAAATAGGCCCACACCTGACATTGGCACTTACAGGCAAGCAAGCTGTCTTTTCCCTATTGACAGATCCAGCGCAGGCTAAACATCGGGTTTGTTGAGGATATGGTTGGTATTCAGAGGGATCACATCTCAGGCAGCTAGGCTCTTTTCCTCCATTGCGAGAATACCACCCAGGTGCACAGATCTCTGAAATTATTGACTTTTTATTGTAGTTGCATAGTTTATAAGCTTTGCACTTTTTACACGTCATAGTTATTCAAAAGCCCATCTGTTGGTTTGAATTAACTATTTCAATAAATTTCAGTTGCCGAATTGCTTTAGTACTGATAACAAAAACTTAGAACATACGTTTAGTACTAATTTAAAAATCTAAATCTAAGACGAAACTACTATTTTAAACGACTTAAACCGTGATAGACACTTTCTATATTATTCCTCACATACCACATTGAGTTTTATCTGAGTTTGCCAATATATTATCATCACATTGTCTACAGAAAATAGCTCCCTCTATAGGACTAATCATGTTTCCCGTACAAGAGACACACTTGGTTGCATCCATGTCAGCTGATCTGAACGTTCCCGGAGGGCACAGTTCACATGTTATCATGCTGCAAGTTTTATACTGCCCAGCTGGGCATGTTTCTGAAACGATTGTATTATTACATCTCATAATATTCATCATTTATTATTTATTTTGAATGCGAGTTTAACTAGTTATCAATTTTATGATTTTGACACCACTCGGGGGTTCAAATTGCAGGACCTAAAACTCTAAAGTTATTATTCTTTGACCTATTTTTTATTTCGTCATACTGGAGTCTGGACCAGCTATTCCATTGTTCTTTTTTGAGCATATATTCTCGTACTGTTAAAAACTTGAAGAACTACAAAAGTCTTGGGAGGTAGGTATGTATCGAGAATGACTCGAACAGAAAATTTTCTCAGTCGAAATCTTCCAGAGTTTTTCGGGAAACCATTTTTGTTCATGTTTCATGCTACCCAGATCATTATAAGCCGTAAATAGTCCGTACCTACATTCGAAAAATTGTGTATCAAATGGTCGGCTTCGAAAAATATTTATGGCTCATAATGATAGGTAACCTGAAAGGTAACCTGAAACGTAAACAAAAGTTTTTCCAGGATAACTCAATTTTTTTACTTAGAAAATGGTCAGCCTTCAGTTCCGTGCAGATTAATTTGGTTGTGTGATAATTACAACAATAATTACAACCGCTATTTTAACAGTTCTATCCCACGATTTTGTTTCCTTTCCTAATCCTAACCCTTTCAAGCAACCAGCTCTAACATAACTATACCATTGCTTGCTTTGGGGTCCAAGTCTCAATTACTGTGTAACAATAGTATAAGCTTCCAAGTTCTCAAGTTATCTTACCACAGGCAGTTTTGTCAGTGTTTGGTGTCCATCCTGTTTCACATATCACACAGCTTGTCATATCTTTGTTCTTGTAGCTTCCATATAGACACTCAGCTAAAAAATAAGAAAGTAGTTAGAACTTAATGTGATATAAAATATCAAAATGTGTATAATACAGAATACTCTGAATTACCCCCTGGTCTTCAGATAAGAATCCTTACCACACGCAGTCCTCCCTGAGTTTGGTTCCTGGCCAGGTCACAAGTTGTACACAAGGCTGCTCCTTCTGAACTGATCGTGTTATCAGGACATTCTTTACATGTGTTCATTTCAATGCTCTTGTAGCTTCCAGCTGGACATGGCTCTGAAGAATTAGAAAATATTTAAGCAGCAATTCGTTTGAACTACCTTATTATGAAGTTATTGTGAGTACCAATATCCTCAGTTTTCGTTCTATAGCACAGTCAATTCAAATTTAAAACATAACAATAATATTAAATATTATAAGCTTTAAAGTTATCTTACCACAGACTGTTTTATCAGAGTTTGGTGTCATTCCAGCGTCGCATGTCTCACAGCTTGTCATAGCATCATTCCGATATGTTCCTTCTCCACACGGCTCTGGAATTAAACGAACTAAGGTACTTCAGTCCATGTTTTATGTTACACTGATTAATATGTGCCTAAAGAATTTTTCGGTTTCGAAGTCCCCTTCTACCCTGCCTTCAGAGGTACGTATCGAGAATGACTCAACAGAAAATTTTCTCAGTCGAAATCTTTCAGAATTTTTCTGGAAACCACTTTTGTTCATATTTCATGCTACCCTGATAATTATGAGCCGAAAATAGTCCGTACCTACATTTGAAAAATTGTGTTTCAAATGGTCGGCTTCGAAAAAATGTTTATGGCTCATAATGATCAAGGTAACCTGGAATGTAAACAAAAGTTGTTTCCAAGATAACTTTGTAAATTTTTTGACTTAGCAAATGTTCGGTCCGAGTCATCTCGCTTTTTTGTTAAGTTATCCTTTAAGTTATCCTTTTATGGTGATGCTATGGTTATTTAGCATGTTTACTGTTTCAATACCTGGATGTATACACTCAGGTTCATCGGATTCGAAACGAAATTCCGTTCCTGAGATGCAGGTCACCTTACTGCTCCCTTTATTGAGAGCTCTGGATTCAACACAATTCACTTCCACCACAGTTTCTGGAACTACTGGGAACTGTGTCGTGGTTCTGATCGTAGTCCTCCACTCAGCCTTCAGTCCTGTGCAGCTCACTGCAGATATATCATATTGAATCACGTTGACCTGATTAATTTGGTTGTGTGATAATTACAACAATAATTACAACCGCTATTCTAACAGTTCTATCCCACGATTTTGTTTCCTTTCCTAATCCTAACCCTTCCAAGCAACCAGATCTAACATAACTATACCATTGCTTGCTTGGGGTCCGAGTCTCAAATACTGTGTAACAATAGTATAAGCTTCCAAGTTATCTTACCACAAGCAGTTTTGTTAGCGTTTGGTTTCCATCCAGCGTCACATGTCTCACAGCTTGTCATAGCATCATTCCGATATGTTCCTTCTCCACACGGCTCTGGAATTATAACGTTATAACTGGCAAATCGTAGTGGAAGATAAGAAAATCCTTATTATATAAGTACAGTTCAGATGTTTTACAATAGCATTGTTTAAAAAATATTTGTCAAATTAAATATCCACATTCCACATATTCCACGGTTTTTCAAGGAAATTATTGCAACCCAGACTCTTACTATAAGCCCTTACAGTTCTTGTCTTTTCGTACCACAAATATGCCTTCTTGATTCTTAGCCCTATCTGGCGCCTTATCCTTATCCCGTCTTAACCCCTACCATATCTTTACCCATCTATATAGATATATTCATCTCAGCCCGGTTCTTGTTAACAATTCTTACCACACGCAGTTCTCCCTAAGTTTCGTTCCTGGCCAAGTTCACAAGCTGTACACAAGGCTGCTCCTTCTGAACTGATCGTGTTATCAGGACATTCTTTACACGTGTTCATCTTCAATGTTCTTGTAGCTTCCAGCTGGACATGACTCTGAAGAATTAGGAAATCTTTAAGCAGCAATTCGTTTGAACTACCTTTTTAAGAGGTCATTGTGAGTACCAATATCCTCGTTTTTCATTCTATAGCACAGTTAATTCAAATTTAAAACATAACAATAATATTAAATATAAGCTTTAAAGTTATCTTACCACAGGCTGTTTTGTCAGAGTTTGGTGTCAATCCAGCGTCACATGTCTCACAGCTTGTCATAGCATCATTTCGATGTGTTCCTCCTCCACACGGCTCTGGAATTATAACAATGTATAACGTTACAACAGGCAAATCGTAGTGGTAGATAAGAAAATCGGTATTATATAAGTACTTAAGTACACTTCAGATGTGTTACAATAACATTAGATTTAAAACAATATGTGAAAAATTAAATAGCCACATATTTCACAGTTTTTCGAAGAAATTATTGCCGCCCAGACTCTTACATTTCTTGTCTTTTCCTACCACGAATTTGTCTTTTTGATTCTAAGCCCTATCTGGTGCCTTATCCTTATTTAAAACATAACAATAATATTAAATATAAGCTTTAAATTTATCTTACCACAGGCTGTTTTGTCAGAGTTTGGTGAAAATCCAGCGTCACATGTCTCACAGCTTGTCATAGCATTATTCCGATATGTTCCTTCTCCGCACGGCTCTGGAACTATAACGTTATAATTGGCAAATCGTTAAATCGTAGTGGAAGATAAGAAAATCGGTATTATATAAGTACTTAAGTACACTTCAGATGTGTTACAATAACATTCGATTCAAAACAATATGTGAAAAATTAAATATCCACATATTCCACAGTTTTTCGAAGAAATTATTGCCACTAGCTATTTTGCATTCCGCTATCGCTAATATATTTATAACTCTACCTTCAATGATTGTGATTTTATCTCATTCGGAGAACAATAATTGATAAAATTATGACCACTATATTAAGTTATAAATAACAATATGCTAACTATCCCATATTCTATATAATATATGTGTTATATTATGTTAAATAACACATTACACACCTGAAATTTAGACAAAAAACACGTAATCACAAGCTTACGAGATAATCAGGCTGATTCAATCAGCAAGGTGGTTTATTTATTAATTAAAGTTATTGTTACTTTGTTAAACCAATGCTTGTTGTTATTAGTCACCTGGTTGTGGTCCGTAGTAATCAGATGCCGTGTCGGCGGAATGGAACTTTATCTTTGTCACGTCCATGTTCCAGTACGTGCTCCAACTACTGTCACTACACGTTGATTGAGAGAGCAGTTTGTTGAGCACCTCCACGTCGTTACAGTGTATCACTAGTCTAACACCTGCAGTTTTGGTTAGAGTGATACGCCACACCTTGTCAGCAGTAGAGGGGAGATTAACAGGGAGGTTAGTGTAGGATGTGCTGCAGTAGCTGAGCCAGTATCGTAGAGTAGAGCTGAAGTAGAGGATGACTCCTCCTGAAAGCGGTCCCTCAGCAGAGTATAAGTACACTGACACCTTATCCTTACTCCCCAGCACACTATTAGTTTTTACTTCTAAAGGTGTCGACTCAGGATCCCACTCTATTTTCACGTTACGTTCGACTGGTAACCAACCTGTTAATTGTATGTTTAACTCATGACTACTGAGCAACGATTTATGAATATCATGAATTTAAGGAGGAGGTGTTCTAGCAAAATTGTTAAGGAATAATTGTAAGAATGTCGCCAATAATTTATTCTCAGAATTTAAGGGCCCGACCATACTATGACTGTTGTCACCATGACTGTTGTCACCATGACTGTTGTCACCATGACTGTTGTCGTAGTGCAGATCAGATGTAATGCCAGAGGCACGTAGTGTGTTTAGAGGGCGTGCCAAGGATACGTGACAACTCGTCGGGCACGTCTTTTCAAAAGCTGTGTCTATACTTCTATACTAGCTAAAAATCCGTGCCTGACTGCAGGCACAGTCTGTTCAGTACTCGTGCCAACTGTCATGGATAACGTGACGTCACGATTACCTTATAAGGTCAATATTTTACGTGATATGGACATTCACACAGGCAGTGCAGAGTGCAAAGACAAACAGATCCGTCTGAGAAAAAAAAATCAATCTACTGACACAAGAAGCTTCCAAAGGATTTATGACGTTTTTAGGTTAAATTTTTAGGTTTCATTCGGCTGACCAATTTTTCCAAAATTTTCCACATGTCAGGCCACTTTTGCCACTTTTTACCTCCTTTCTTGTTTGTCAAATATCTTCAGCTGTGAACATCGTAATAGGTTACGAATTAATAGAAGGTGATTATCATATCGAGGAGAAAAACTTTTATCAGAAA